CTATTAGAAACTAGAAATGTGTTTATTTTATTTATTAATTTTTTTAAACTATTACAATATATATTACATAATATAGATTAAAAAAAGTGGGATTTATAGAACACAAATATCTCTAAGTATCGTAATACACTCTTTTATAAAACTTAAGTTTACAGAACAAACATATATGCGTCTTACGTTAGAGTGTTGCAAAGAGTTTATAGCTAGGACGTTTTCRGGTATCTTAACAAATTTTTAAAGACATGTTTGAAATAAAACGTCCTTATTATTATTTTTATATGACACTATTARAAAAATTGCCGTCTGAAACAAGCGTCCTATAAATAATATGTTTAATAGAACAATTCTTAAAATTGTCCTGTAAAAAATCTAATAACTTTATGTCAAAAGTGTTCCTAAAACTTTTTAAAACAACTAAAAGTGTCGTATAAACTTATTGTGATGTTTTAAAAATGACACACATATTTAGTCATTTAAACTTAAGTTTTATAAAACGGTTTATTAGGATACTTGAATATTCGTGATGTCTTATAAACCCGATTTTATGATAGTAAATATTACAAACTTTCTTTTTGTTTATATCTTAATTTATAGTTTTTCCGTATTTAAGTAGTAGAAAATTCACAAGTTCAAAMAAATATATATAATAATAATCTCAATACGAAATAGGATTTAGAACGACACATATTTATCACATTACAATTTTTTTTAAATGATGTATTTGACCGATACGTAAAAGTTTAATGATTTATTTAACATAAAATTGTTCAAAAACTTAATCATTTTAAATTAGATATTTCAATTATTTATTTATTAAAAGAAAAAAACTTAAAACTTAAATATAGCAAATGAGAAAATGTTGACGAGTTTTCTAACCTTAAAGTCCAACTTTTTTAAAAGCGAGTAAAGTGATGGGGTGTCTTTTTGTACGGCATTCGATAATGATGKTATATTTATTAATATCGTATTTTATCATTAAGGGGTTGTTTGTTTAYCTCTTAATAGTTTCATTAAAAAACAGACTTTGAATCGTTAAGAGGTGAATTTTGTTTGGAAAAAAAAGAGTCTGCCGATTAATGGTTGCAAAACCTTCTGAATGATTTTGTATCCTAAGTCTCTCTTAACCATTCAGCGTCCTAATTTCATTGTAAAYAGTTACCCAACAATTATATTTCATTTTGAACTATATCATGAAAGTCTCTTAATCATTCTAATCACTTAATCATTGTGCACCAAATCWTTCAGCAACTGCCAAACAGCCCCTAGAAAAATTCAATATTAAACGACATTATTTGATCAAAAGCAAAAGATGTGGTCTCATTATCAAATCTAAAGTGATTATGCCTTTCTTTTGAAGAATAAAYTGATTATGTCTTGGTCTTCTTTATTTTCTTACAATTTTCTTTTATCCATTTATATTTATGAGATCTCTGTAAATCTGTCGATTTTATCAATAATCTGCTTAACTAACATACGTTAAATCCAACAAGGTAGAACGAAATAATTTATGCTTGTTG